TTTTTTTATATTTTTATTGAAAAAACAGCTATCAATGATATCAAAAAGTCTGGACTTTAATTTATCGTGGGAAATGGTTGTGTATGAAGTTGAAAAGTATTAAATTTTTAAGGTGTTGATTTTTGGTAAAATCTTTTGATTTCAAATTGACCAAAAGTTCATTGGAATTTTTAATTATCCACATCTGATTTACACCACTTCTTGAATAGATATTGTTGCCCATTACTCTTGAAGTTTCTCCTCCGCTACTGTTAATACTAGTATCTTAGTGAAGAGTAAAGAAAGAGGCTTGGCTGAGCATTTACTGGAACCCGCTGTGCATCTTTGGAAGGATTTTTATGAAGTTTCGGAATCCAATATATAGATACATGTATGGAGTTCATACGAAGTCCAAATTCGTTTTGGTTCTTTGGGATCTTAAAAATATTCAAAACTGACATATGATTTTGAAGAATTTCTTCCTTAAAAAGGGAACAATGAGTATAAGTTGGATTACCACTAAGTCTTGTAGAATTTTAAAATCTAAGTTCTTCTAAAATACAATTTTTATAATAAGCTTACAAACGAAGACAATGTTGTTAGCTGCTTTGCCAGCAGAGACCAGTATGTACTGATCATATAATCTTTTTTTTCACTTTCGGACTGTTGAATACGGAAGGATAGATGGTTTTCACATTGCCCCTCAATCTTTTAATACGAGATTGTAACATAGATCTGATACATTTAACCCATTCGACAAAGTGTCAACGTCTTCTTTTTCAACTTTGGTCCATCGCCTGGCGTAATCTTCTACAGAACCCATAATATTTATGAAATTCCGACGCCAGTTGAAGGATCGGGGTTCCCTATATTTAGGACCTTTTACTGATCTAAGGTCCGCATTATTAACACAGGCGCTTGACGTTTTTAACCTTTCTCTTTATCAATAAAAAATTTCCCTACTATATTATTATTATAGTAGGGAAATTTTTTATTGATAAAGAGAAAGGTTAAAAACGTCAAGCGCCTGTGATTATTAACTACATGTATATTTACGTCACTACGTAATAACGTGTCCAGCAAACTATAGTTGTAGGTTGAAGAAGAACATGGACACGACGGAGGATTATGGTTCAGATATTCGATATCCAGGCCCTGTAAAGTTTTCTTGTAATTAAACAGTTTGGAAGCAAGAGTCGATGTATATTTATAGGAAATACAAGGTTTAGTCTTTAACTTGAAATATGGTGGATTGCAAGACTGGAACCTTTTGTGATTAAGGGTATTACTTATATTAACAGCGTCAATTCTTTTGTTGGCATTGTCCTTTCTGATATATTTTATTTTTAAATATAAAATCTGCAATATGACATGTTGCGGATTTTATGACATATATTTGTCCTTTCTGACATATTTTATTTTTTAAAAATAAAATCTGTAACATGACATGTTGCAGATTTTATTTAAAAAATAAAATATGTCAGAAAGGACAGCATAATGAAGTTTAAGAAAGAGACAGATTGTTTTAGCTGCCATTTTCTTCTGTAAAACGTGGGTGTCAAAAATCCTATGATTTGCAATATTCATAATCACAGATCTATATTCTGGTTTCGAGGAATCAAAAGATGGACTTTCCATGACCTTTTCAAGAAGACGATTTAAAGGTTTCAATGAGACAGAGTAAAGTTTGGTGCGAATATGATGTAGACCTATCTGTTGATTTACATAAGGTAGTAATGAATCAAAAGAGACATCATGTATTAAAGGTTCATTGTAAGACTGATGCCCACGACCACGCTTACTAAAAAGTCCAATGACATTTACATTGTTAGACTGTGGACTGGAAAGATTTCCAACACTATCGACATTGTCATTTCATCCATAGGGAAAGGCTGTCCCAAGTTTTCTATTCCAAAATTCTTCTCGTTGTCTACGGAAAAGTGTACTCAGTGAAGGACTATTTGTGTGATGGTAAATCTTTTCTAGAATCTTTTCTGAACGAGAGGCATGAACCCCATATGCAGCTGTATAACGGTTTAATATTGCTAACGAATAAATGGAAGTTGATGTTTGAAAAGTTGAACTCATAAAGTTTATCATAAAGCTTTTTTGTTATATTACCATTAATGTCCTAGAAAACCATTTACGTCTTTTTCTAGTAAAATGACCAAATATAAATCAGATATGCAAGACATTGTGGTATCTTTTATTTCAGGTTCACTGGGATCTATCGACATACGAATGGAAGTGAAGTAACTTTTATTATTTGACAAAGGTAATCGATGTATCTATATGTACATTTGAAGGCTAAAGCTAGTGTTTTCTTCTCGTGTAGACATTTTTGGATAAATCCTGCTTCATATGACCACAAAATGAGTTCTGCTAATAATTGGGCGCAAGTGATACCCATAATTCCAACATATCGTTAGAAGACCTGATCTCAAAAACTACATAGATGTCAATCATACATTTTTTAAAATATCAATTTCAGAGTACTTTTGTACAGTCAGAATGTTTTTAACAAATCATTTTTTTAAATTACCAAGGCACGGTAAGTACGTTATATCAACAAGATCCTCTTTTATTGAAAAATCATGATTTGAACACCCTTGCCTTGATTTTATTGTTGGTTAAATGGTTGTATAAAGTTTTAAAAAGGCGTGCATTTTGATTTTTATAATTCTGGTTTAATTTATCGTAGGAAATGGTGGTATACAGAGTTGAAAAGTATAAAATTTGGTGTTATTGATCTTGGTAAAATTTTGCAAATTCGAAATTTCTTAAGTTCCTTGAAGTTTTTAAGTGTGAAAATTTGCTTTTCACCACTTCCCGCATTTACATGTACTATGGTAAAGTACTTTTGAAGCTGTATAAATATCTTAGTGAGGAATAAAGAAAGCGTGGCTAGGTTGAACATTTACTACAACCAGCTATGTGTCTTTGTAAAAAAAAAAAAAAAACATTTATGAAGTTTCGGAATCATGTATAGGTAAAATAATTATTCATTTGGACTGTTGGGAATGTTAAAAATATCTAAAACTGAAATAGATTTTAAAGAATGTCTCCCGTAGAAAGGGAGCTGTTGATATAGATTGGATTTTTACTTAAAGAATTAATCAGTAAATCATAGCTTCTCTGAAATACTTCTAACATAATGCCTTACAAGCAATGACAATCGTGATGCTGTTACTTGCTTTGTCAGCAGGGATTAGTACATACTGAGCGTATAATCTATCTAATTCTTTTTCTTCACTTTTGCATTGTCGACGACAGAAGGATAGTCGGTTTTTATATTTCCTCTCAATCAATTCTGTTATGTGAAATAAATTTACATTCATTCAAAAATCCAAATATCAGTCTGATAGTGCAGTTATAAATCCCTTATCACCACAGCAGTCCATATCCTTAACTGTACAATACAGATTACAGAGGGATTCTTTGCGTGCACACACGCAAATCTATCACGTACCATAAAATTATGGATTTCCTTCAACTTGTCATTTAGATAGTTTATTAACGAAAGCAGATTTCAGGATCATGAAACATCTAAGGCTTAAGTTAAAATCTGTAAAATATGTGCTGAAACGGTATAGTATTCAAACAATCCATAATAAAATATCTGGTAGGATTATATTACAAGGGTGCTACTAATTAAGAAGAGAAGAAGAGTTGCAGAATACACGTCACATGCATAACAAAGATGACTGATATACATGTAATGCTATTTCGGTTGCTTTCATAAGCATAACTAAAGGCAGGTATGATTAACAATAATGTGGATGTCTTGTCATGTACTTTGTATACAAACAAGATATTGTCAACAAACTTTACGGTTTTTTAATGTTTATGATGAACAATATATAATTAAAAGAAAAACAAATAATAGGAAATGCCGTTGTATAAAAAAACCCATTCATACGGCTATCATAAAAATAGTCAGATTTTACAGTAACTTTTTCCAATAAGTCGAACTTATTTAATGCATGCATTATGTCAATATATTATTTTCTTTCAGATGGTTATTAATTTTTCAAAAAATGTCTTCCTCACATTCTCTGATAAAAAAAACCCTACATTTTTCTGCCCAAGTATCAAGTGAGCTATTAAAGACATCAAAGGAGTACAATCCAATGGTGTGTTTAAAAGATTCACTCATTTTCTGGCCTCTTCATTCCGTTATATGTATGGATTTTTACCATGGAACGAAATTATTACTTTGACTGGTCTCCACAACCCAGCTCCCTTCCAATATTGTTTCCAGTTTATAATTGCAACACAACAATAAACAAAAGCTTAGTTACAATTGTGACGAGCCACTTCAAACCTTTGTTCCAGTATATACATAAAAGGCCAAGTTAAACTTAAATGCAAACAATCGTGCCTTTCCACAACAAGTCGTTTTTCTTCATATAAAAGTCACTTCTACTTTTTTATTTACTACACATAGGTAAGTGCTTATTGAAGAAGGGGTTTTGATGCTATTTTCGTCTTTCTAGCATTATGTGCATGAAATTTGGAATACGAACAAAGCAAGAGATGATGGCTTTTGAGCTGATGTACCAAATTATCAGATTTTTTCACAATTAATTTCCATTTCATTGCATATATGAATATTGGTTAAAAATGTGTAGCACTCATTTAATATTTTACGTTGACGTTGTGTGTTCTAAAGGAGCGCCAGTGTCCATAATCCCTAATTTTCTTAAAACATACCCTCGTATGGAGATAACGAACAGTATCCAAGATCAAAACTCCATAAAACAATACAAAATAGGAGCACACAGACCTTCAAAACATCAGAGGTGGGAGCAGGTGGAGTGGAGGAGTGAACATCCCTTGCCGACTGGTCACACCCGCAATGTGCCCCTTGTCATGATCGGGAAATAACGGAAAAATCTGTCGTTAATTCAGTGTTTAAATAATGAACTAATAATTAGTATGAAGAACGTTCGTCAGCATTTGACTCAATGATAAATTGTATTTGCTGACAAATTAATAATATCGACAATAGAACAACGAGATGATGACTTTAAACGAGATCTTTCTTTATTTCCTATGAAAAAAAAATCGTTGTTTATCAGTCAATAATCACAGCTAGGCACATCGCTTTCTTCAAATTTCCTGAGCAGTGGCTGCCCCATCAATGAAATGTAAAATGGCGTTCAATATCAATAATGCTTTATTTTATTAACTACTAAATCCTACTTTAAATAATTAAATCTAAACAATGAAATGACTTTCTCTTTGGTTTTGCATTTTTCTGCAACAGCTGCAACATTTATTCCCGTACTTAATTACAGTCAAAGAATATGCAATTTTCTTCAAAATCTAAAGCATTAAATTTCGTTTTTCTTTTTCATATCCTAAAGGCAAGTAAAGTTATGTACATGAACGTACATGTATATACATGTACACATGAGTATTTTTTTAAAAATATTTTTTATGAATTTTATGAATTAATGTACCCAACCGCCTTCATGTAATTTCCACATACATCCTGGATATCGTTTAATTGACTTGCATTAAAAAATCCCTTCCAAGAGTAAGCATGCGCAGAAGAGTTTGCTCTTACTGCGCAAGTAGGGCAGTCACTCTGGATTCCTGCTCTTGTTAAATGGTGTACATGGGCTTGTACATCTGACGTGTAGTGTAGTCCCAATATTTTGTACAACCACTTTGATGTTCTAAAAGGATAAATTGCTAGGTCTTCATAATAAAGTCTGACGATCCTTTTGTACGTATTGTTCATTTTGGTTTCAAAAAATAAATTCCAAGACAAAAGGTTACAAAGCTCTTGGAAACTTTTCCGAAGATCTTTAAAGATGTTAGCTCCAAGTTTATCTGCAAAGAAAACAGGGAAAGGTCTTCAAATGATGTTTATAAAAGGCACTCAATTTGAGTTGTCTTTCTTACTCTAAGTATATGTATTAGATATGGATCTGAAAAGTAATGTTACCTCTTGAGACCTGAATTGGGCGCGGATCTCTAATTAGGTGAACAACTACTAATTTGGGAAATTTCTCTAGCAGCATTTCCATCCAATCCATAGATAAACGAACAATTTTGAAAATTCTGTGAGAGGATTTTTCACAAGCCTCCATCAGAATAGGTAGACATTTTCTGATAGAAAACAACAAAGATGCCCTGCGTTTGTTTCTATCAACACATGTAATGTAAGGAACACTTTTGTTACTGTAGTAGAGAAATCCGTGACTAACGATGTGGACATCGAGGCTGGTAAAATCACATGTGATCAAAGACAAGAGGATTTTAGTAGAAACTTTGTTGAAGTCCTGTATCCCAATGGGTCTATGTTAAAAACAGAAGATACATGACCATTTTTTCTTACAAAAAATCTAATAAAAATCATTGAAATTCTTAATTTTTTCTTCAGAAAGATACCTTATTCTCTACCAACCATGATGATTTGTGCTTATCCTCTATACTTGTGTTCCTTTCATTTTGATAATGAATGAAAGGAAAATTTTTATATTACAATCTTTGATGACTAACTTGATTATTTTCTTTAAAAAAAGTTTCTTTTTCATAACGTTTGACTGATATAACAAAATTCAAAGACACATTACCAGTGCCATTAAAATAAAATTTTTGTTTCAGTTCTTTCTTTCTTTTCTATTTTTTTAAATATCGCTGAGAGAATAGAATTGATTTATTTTTTTCCCTCTAAAGTGACGAAGCGATTTTAGAAAATACCAAACTGTTCTAACCACTCTTTCCTTGTCAAATTATACTTACTGGACTGATCCATTCACCAGGTGTAAATTGGAGATGTTTTGGTACATAAGGTAGTTCAGGGGATTGAGCGGCTCGTACAGATAGAAGGAATCCCTGTCCTGTTGGAGTATATCTCCGGTCAACGAAGATCCAGATCGGAACGTAGACAGTATTATGATGGGGTGTATGTCGGCTGTCCTTAAAGAAATTGTCTTGGAAAGCTGTTCTTCGTTCTCAGTTGAACTATCTCTTGTGTCCGTCACTCGATGCTTCAAATCTGGAAACAATAAGAAAGCAATAGTTTTTTTCAAAAGTAATAGATAAACTTTTGTCAGGTCACCTGAGTAACTCAGGTGACCTATTGCTATCCGTTTTCGTCCGTCGTTGTCCGTCGTCCGTCGTGCGTCGTGTGTCGTGTGTTAACATTTGAACATTTTCAGCTTCTTCTCTGAAACCACTGAACCAATTTCAATCAAATTTGGTATACAGCATCTATGGGTGGAGGGGAACAAAAATTGTGAATTTCATGGTCCCCGCCCCCCTGGGGCCTGAGGGATGAGGCCAAAACCACTAAAATTAATGAAATCTTTAAAAATCTTCTTCTTTACTCCTGGACATCAAGCAGGCAAACTATTGGCATGAATGTAATGAGCATTGAGTCCTCTACCAAAATTGTGAAATTCATGGCCCCAGGGTCAGGGGTTTTAGTGCTAGGGCGGGGCTCTATAGATTATATAGTGAAATGCATTATTTCTTTGAAAATCTTCTTCTCTGCTCCTGGGTATTAAATACACTAACTAAGCACATAGTTATGATGAGCAAGAGTGCCTCTTCCAGATTTGTGAATTTCATGGCCCCAGGGTCAGGGGTTCTGGTGTTAGGGCGGGGCTCTATAGATTATATAGTGAAAATGCATTATTTCTTTGAAAATCTTCTTCTCTGCTCCTGGGTATTTAATAAACAAATTAAGCACATAGTTATGATGAGCAAGAGTGCTTCTTCCAAAATTGTGAATTTTATGGCCCCAGGGTCAGGGGTTCTAGTGCTAGGGCGGGGCTCTATAGATTATATAGTGAAAATGCATTATTTCTTTGAAAATCTTCTTCTCTGCTCCTGGGTATTAAATACACTAACTAAGCACATAGTTATGATGAGCAAGAGTGCCTCTTCCAGATTTGTGAATTTCATGGCCCCAGGGTCAGGGGTTTTGGTGTTAGGGCGGGGCTCTATAGATTATATAGTAAAAATGCATTATTTCTTTGAAAATCTTCTTCTCTGCTCCTGGGTATTAGATAAACTAACTAAGCACATAGCTATGATGAGCAAGAGTGCCTCTTTCAGATTTGTGAATTTTATGGCCCCAGGGTCAGGGATTCTGGTGTTAGGGCGGGGCTCTATAGATTATATAGTGAAAATGCATTATTTCTTAGAAAATCTTCTTCTCTGCTCCTGGGTATTAAATACACTAAATAAGCACATAGTTATGATGAGCAAGAGTGCTTCTTCCAAAATTGTGAATTTTATGGCCCCAGGGTCAGGGGTTCTGGTGTTAGGGCGGGGCTCTATAGATTATATAGTAAAAATGCATTATTTCTTTGAAAATCTTTTTCTCTGCTCCTGGGTATTAGATAAACTAACTAAGCACATAGCTATGATGAGCAAGAGTGCCTCTTTTAGATTTGTGAATTTTATGGCCCCAGGGTCAGGGATTCTGGTGTTAGGGCGGGGCTCTATAGATAATATAGTGAAAATGCATTATTTCTTTGAAAATCTTCTTCTCTGCTCCTGGGTATTAAATACACTAAATAAGCACATAGTTATGATGAGCAAGAGTGCTTCTTCCAAAATTGTGAATTTTATTGCCCCAGGGTCAGGGGTTCTGGTGTTAGGGCGGGGCTCTATAGATTATATAGTGAAAATGCATTATTTCTTAGAAAATCTTCCTCTCTGCTCCTGGGTATTAGATAAACTAACTAAGCACATAGTTATGATGAGCAAGAGTGCCTCTTCCAAAATTGTGAATTTTATGGCCCCAGGGTCAGGGGTGCTGGTGTTAAGTCGGGGCTCTATTGATTATATAGTAAAAATACATTTATTCTTTGTAAATATTTTTCTTTGCTTTTGGGTTTTAAGCCAATGATCCAAGTATATATATATTTATGATGAAGAAAGGTGCATCTAGAAAAGTGGTTATTAATGCCCCCAGGGTCAAAGGGGGGGGGGGGTGGTTACATAGCCTGAAAATAAATTAATGCTTTGAAATCTGCTCTTTGGTATTAATCAACCATTTTATGATAAAATTTGCAAAATTTTGAAATATATGGCCCTGGGTCAGTGGTTCCTTTGGGGTGCACAACTGGTTATAAAGTGGAAGTGCATTTTCTCTTTGTTACTCTGATCTACCTCTGGGTATTAAGTAAATAGAGTAAGCATGCTAAGTTAATAATTATGATATGCAATGGTGCCTCTTTCAAAATTGTAAATTGTGAATTTCATGGCCTCCGGTTTAAACACGAACCAAATTTAATTGTTTGAAAGTTGTTACACAATACTCAGGTGACCTATAAGGCCCGTGGGCCTCTTGTTAGTTTTACATATGAACGTATGAAGACAAGGCATTTGTGATGTTCTATTTTTATAGGATTGATTTACAAAAGGAAGTTGAATAGGGATACAACCATAAATTCATTTATGCTTTGTTGATTGTTTGTTAACTCTTTTAATTGATCCTAGGATGAGGTGGGGGGCTTGGGCATTACGAATATCTTAAAGTGCTGGTCAGTTGCTTTCATATCTTAATAATAAATCTTATTACTGTAAATCACTTTTTATTCGCGAGAACTTTATTTTCGCGTAATTACGCGAGACAGTGTACTCGCGAAAATTTAATTCTCGCGTATATTAGCATTTCTTAAAATTAGATAGAGGAATAACCACAATTCGTGAAAATTTTGTCTCGCTAATCAAGAGTCAATGACTATCTTGCGAAAATAAGGTGTCGCGAAAATTTAGAGATCAGCTATTATTAATTATTATTTAGAATAACATTAAATGATCTCATGACACTAGTCAGAAAACTTTCTGTTACGAAGCCCGAACAGCTTAATAGGACTAGATAGGCGGTAGAGAAATTAGCGGCCAAAATCATGGCCTTTACAGTGCAGGGATTGCATTTGTAGATAATCTTTTGCTGATGGATGAGAAATGTACAAAGCGAGGGGGTATAGGTTTTGCCAAATAACATTTTTGGACGCATCTCTGTTTTTCGACAATCCTAAGGTGGTTGTACATTACTGTTTATAATTTAAGGGTAATTTATTTTAAAACATCTCTATAAATGACATTAATTAATCAATAAATACAAAACAAGATCTAGAGTTTGATCTTTCAATATTCTTAATATACGCTTAAGGACAGATGATGCAAAAATGGATGCCTGGATTGGTATATATTTTGAGGTTTATTTTTGTTGCAAATGTTGCAAATAATAAACTTCTAAGATATTAAGAAATTGTAAACCTTCCTTGATGTTCAAAATTCTAATTTTCTGCAACAATCCTTACATGTATTAATCTATAAAAATATTTTTCACTTCAAATCTATACAAATATTTTTCACTTCAAATCCCATTTTTGTGAAATTTTGAATGAAAAATTAAACAGTACAAGGTGAAACTTGTTCATTTTACTCAATCAAACAAAACTCAGTGTTAATTTCATATTTTTGACAAAAAATTGTATCATCTGTTCTAAAGTATGCATTGTTTTCCTACATTTTTTTTTCACTTACTATTCAAAACAAAAACGTCAAAAAGCAACAAGATGGGTCCCACAGCGAGAATAGCAATCCTGAGAGAACGTCTTGTTGGCTGCAAAAACAAATAATAATATCAATAATTTATAAATAATTTATCATAATAACAAAAACAGCAATTATCAAAATCAAATTGCCCATCGACCATGCAATAATCAAGTCAGCTACACCGCGGGCTGGCTTTCATATACAGTAACCAAAACCTTTTCCAAAAAATATATGTTTTTTTGTTTTCAATTCAATAAACATGATTTAAAAATACCTCTCAATTTCAATAACAGAAGAAATTCAAATATATGTAGCGAAGAAAGATCGAGCAAAAGTCATAAAATAGTGTAAAAAGTTATTTACGAAACACAATGTTGTCGGGATCATTGATAATGCACATTTGGAGAGGAAATATAATGTACGCAATATGTAAAACATTGTTGAAAATTTGATTTAAAGTTCTAACCCTAAAGTTTGGCACTTCATGTTTTGTTCTCAACATTTGATTTTTGTGAATGTATCTAGTACCAATTGAATATGAATGATTCATATATTACACTTTTTTAAAAATAAATTTTAATTGAGAATTTATCTCAGGTGTGTTTATTCTACCTACTCTTAAAAAAAGGATGAAAAATTAGAAAAAAAAATTACATACCATACATACCATAGTGCACCCCCATCTCTGACACCCAGCAAAAACGATTGTAAACGCCCAGGATAAACATCTATTCGATCATTTTCTCAATACAATCTCCCGAAGTGTTATTTTCTAATCCAATAAAATGGGACAAACCGACCCTATGATATCGATTCTAAATAACAGCTGAGTGTTCATTGTATTCATGGAGCGTAACGTGATATCTGGACATTGTTTGGATCCGCCAGCTGTGATCATACACTTCATGGAATCTTTGTTGACAAACATATCTCTTGTAGTATTACGGATATAGCTAATTGATTTGGAAGTAGAAGAACAATGCAAAGATATTTTTTGTGAATCCATAAAGTGAATTGCTCTTCAAAAGTTGGTTTATTGCAAGCGTGCGTTGGTAAAGGTACAATCATGGATTTCTAAGGTAACACGATTACTTTTGCAATTGGAAATTTTGGGAATATATTTATTGTCTATTAAGGAAAGTTAAAACAATCAGCCCATTGTCACTGTTGAAGTATTAATATATCTACAAAACTTTTGATGTGAAGTAATTATAAACCAACTCACATCGTTCTACACACAATTATCAAGTTACCTTTGTATTTTTCTACACATATCATATAATCTGTCATTTATAAATATAACAAACAGTGACCAATGCTCTCTTACATCTAGTTAACAAAACAAATCGTGAACAGGGCAAAAACACTGACCCCTGGATTGTATGTTGTTTAACGTCCCTCTCGAGAATCTTCCACTCATATGGAGACGCCACCACGTGCCGATGGAGAGCTGCAAATTTTGTCCTATACTCGGCACTTAGGGCCATTGAACAGAAAGGGGTGTGTTTCGTGTCAGCACCTACTGCGACACGGGACCTCGGTTTATATACGGTCTTATCCGAAGGACCAGGCTCCACGTTCCGCATTTGGATTCGAACCCGCGACGTAAGGTTCAACCCCTTACTTCGCGACTCTAGAGCAGACGCTCTAACTACAGCGCCAAGCGGTCGACTTTATATTATACATATTTGTGATGTAAAGGCATACATGTAAACCGGACACCCGGAAATTCCTGACATGGCATTGAGTTCAAACGAGAAGTAATCATCCCCTGTTGACCGGTCACACCCGACTTAAGACAGCTAGGTAGACAGAGCGCTTGGTAGTCATATTTAAAAAAAAAATAAGGCCGAACAATTGGTTTTAAGCCCCAGCCAAAACACGACCCAATGATAGGTTATATTAAACAAAGTCATTATATCGACAATAGGCTATGCAAAATGCTGATTTTGATCGATGTTCTTCAAATCTATGTAATACCGGTAAGAACAGTTTTCGAGCTCAAAAATCCACTAAACATTACAAAATAGGAGCAGAACAAACACGGACCACCAAAACATCAGAGGTGTGATCAGGTGCCATGGAGGAATGAGCATCCCCTGACGACCGGTTACATCCGCCGTGTGCTCCTTGTCATAATTGGGAAGTACGGCAAAAATATGTAGACAATTCAGTGTGTAAATAATGGCCTCACAATTAGTATGAAAAAGTCAGTCAACATTTGACTTAATGATGAATTAAGTTTTGCTGAATACATCGTGCTCGGAGCATGCCCTTAAGTATCGAATAGGTTGAGAGATGTGAAACTGCAGAACGTGGTGGTCCTTCAGATAAGACCTATCAACTTATATCCCATATAAATGTTGACACAAAAAAAAATCCCTTACTGCTAATTAAATTTGTAGCAACCAAAGCAATCAGTGGTGGCGTATCAATATGATCGAGTAAAATTTCTGGAAAGGGAATTAAAAAACAAGCAAAACAAATACTTTAGTACAGAATATTACATTAATTTTTTTTTTAACGTACTGATTTTTTTTGTTTACTCGAAAATGTCAAAGAGCACACGGCGGGACGACAGGGTAAACTTAAAGCTGCTTAAACCTGATATTTTTAGAAGTCCTGCGTGCTCTGCTTACATCTTTCATTGTTTCATCAGACTTTTACATTAAGAATACTGGTCGTGGCCTTCACATTTCATAAGACATCTACACACAGTTAGAAATTTATATTGTACATGTATTAAACTTCATTTTTTTTTTGCTTTAAAAATAAATTATTTAGCATATCACCACCAATAAGTTGTATGAAGACATAAATGTCATGCTTGCTAACATAGTTCTTAGAGAAATTTATACACTCTTTTTTTATTTGTCATCCCTGTGGTATAAGAAATTGAACGTATTCAGTGCTGCTAAGTTGTTTGTCCTTGGCTTTGACATTGACCTAAAGAAATTGGTAAATTATGCATAGCAAGAGTTTTCATCTTTTCTTGTTTAAATGGAAATCCATCGATATATTACAATAATACATATATTTATGGGTCTTTGAACTTACAGATTGAAAGATGTCACAGATGGTGTTAACTTACACATATCACGTTGATGGATTACCAGCTATGGATTTTCGGTCATTTTACCTTCAGATATTGTGTGCATATGCAGGGAAGTGATGTTTCCTTAAATAAAATAAGAATTTGATAAATAAGAATCTGTAAACAACTTATTATCCCATTCAAATGCAGAAATAACAAAATTTAATTCTAAAATTTTTCATAAACATTTTTTATATTTACATTTACTTTTTACATTGATTCAATTTTAATGAAATTTGAATTATGAAAATGCAAGAAAATTTCTCAAAAGAAGCTAAAGTAAACATATTTTTAGTTACAAGGTAAGAAATTCACATCACACTTCGTGTTTGATCGGTTAGTAGGGGGTGTTCACTCTTCCAATGCACCTAATCCCACCTATGATGTTTTAGATGGCCATGTTCGCTCTGCTCCCGACATGTATGGTACGAATATATGTTCATTATTTCCATATTTTGTCTACCTTTCTTTCTATCTAAAGTCACATTATTTTATATGAATATTATTTATGTACATTGTGTACAGATTAAGCTTTGATACTAAGAGGGATTATTTATATCGGGCAGAGGAAATTAATGACATTCTTGTAGTTTCTTAAATTAATTTTATTTACATGTATATTAACAAGTCTATTGTGTATGTTCAATAGTAAAAGATATGACAACATGAAATTAAATAAAAACAACATTTTATAAGTTAATTAGAAAAAAGAAATATTAAGAAGTAATTTTAGACTTTGCAGTAAAATCGTGCTTCTTAATGTGATTTTGCTTGTGTTGATAGAAATGTATATCTTTACTTACATATCAAACTTAACCAGTGTTTTATGGCAAAATCAATCTTTACTTTTATAATGTGAACGTACCAAAACGTCCTGCTCATCTTAAAAGTAAGAATTACAGGTGAACCAAGATTATGGCACATAATGAGCCTGATTAGTGCCCAGATTTATTGCAGGCAAAGAAACGGTTAATAGATAAAATAATGAAGATGAAAGGGTGGGTTTAAATTATTGAATTCAATACACAACTGCATTTAACTTCTCTCGAATGGAAAACTTCGTAAATAAAGTCAAAAGGTGTTCTGTGTACATTGTACGATTTTGTTATCTGGGGCGGAATTTAAAATTTACAAAAACTTTCTGCCAAGGTAAATAATGGTCTACCGAAACAATGGCATATCTCGATTTGTAATGTCAGCTCTGAAAACGAAAATCTCCCAGTTTGTCGTTTTGTAAATGAGTTTGTAATGAAGCCTTTCTTCGGTAAACCGCCCAATCACTTTTGGGCCCCGGTGCCAGATAAGCTGTGTCCGCAGAAAGAATGACTGTTGACTACTTCATACGTCTAATGTGTGAATTTTGATGCCACCACTTGCAACAATTATACCAGGATAAAAAGAATTTGCAACCTTCTTTGATTCAGGTGGGTTTATTCATTATATTTTGATGTCTTATTTCTTTAAAATGAAAATCATTTCATATTGAATAACTTTCTTCTGGTCATACACATTTCATCTTATCTGTAAGAAGAATTTATTAAAGTATCATACATTGTACACATATAATGTAATTATGCATATTTATGAGCACATATTTTCATAATCTATGATTACAATGTTACTTAAGGAAAAGATTAAGTAAATATGAGAAAGGATTTCAGAATTTCAAAGGGACAAAATACAATTCATTATGTAGACTTAAACGCATTGTTAACTTTCGAAAGCTTACAAACTTCTAAATCAAAACTCGGGATAAAATTTGACCATTATTTACACTTTTGATTTGTCCAGGTATATTTAAAATATTTCAAACATATTATTGACTCTTAAAAGATATGAAGAGGGAAATATGTCACGAAATATTTACCCTGAAGCAATCATATCTAATATAGAGAGTAATTTATGATCGGAGACCCAATAACTTTGGCCTCAATAAAGTTACTTTCTTATACTTGAAAAGAAAAGTAACTGACCTTTTTAAGAAAGGTTGAACACTAGAAATCAGTTTTACGTGCATGTCATTCACTTACTCAAGGAGACTTTTCTGAACTCTCCACGTTTGACTTCCAATGCATTTAGTTTTATCTGGGATCAATGTAATGCATGTGAGTATTTTGATTTAAACTATTGATCTAACAATTATATTTAAGAAAAAAATAAATTGAAAATTGAAGTTACTTATTTATTTGTATTTGTGTGTGAGCTTTTTTAAAAATAAAAAATAAGCATAAGATTCTATTAATATTACAAATATTATCTTCACACCTGAATTCGTTTCAAAGAACAAGAATTTTAGTTTAAAATATATAATTACTTTTGTATTTAGATATACAATGAATAAATGTAGCACAGAAACAGCTCAATCGATATTTTTCTGCAGATCTGTTTCTCTGAGTTAAAGAAACTATTTTTTCCACATTGATCGAAGGATTTTAAGCGTTATATTAAAAAATAGATATAAGAATAAATGGATTAGTAAATCCGTGGTTATGAATCAATTCTTAAGCGAATTGCAATGTTTACACATTCTTTTAACTGATCTTGTCGATGGTTTGGGAGGCAATTCATACAAATATGTTTTTTTTTCTTTTCAAAATACTTTATACTCGGAAGGTATTGCAATAGAAAATACTTTTTTTATGACATTTTAGATTTTTTTTTTCACAAAATCTAAGGGGAAAATCATTTTTTTTTAAATTTGCTTTTCTTTCCCAGGAAACCTTGTCGATTGAAAACTCGTAAGTTTGATAAAACTTTCATGTGCTTGGTTTCGCTTTTTAGTTTCGTCAATTTATTAAAAGCATTGTGATTCATACTGATTGAAACACAAAGAAACAAGTTATCATGGGACAATAGTTCAGAGTTTTGTGATAACCTGAAATTTTTATACGTGATTTTAGTCAGACCAGGACTATATATAGAGAGACAAATATTTTTTTTCTTCAGATTTTCATATACCGGTATGATGGGCAGATGCTTGTATGCGCAGAAATCTTACTAATGACTTAAAAGAGTGGAGAAATGAAAGATTTGAGATCAAGAGCTTGAGTCAAGATACTAAGCAAAATTCAAAATATTTCATTTCTTCTAATCAAATGATGAATTTTAACTTGATGTTTCAGAGAGTTTTCGAAAACTGAAGATTTAAAGAAAGATGTCAGACCCAATCAAGAAAAAGAGGAGACCTCCAAAATACCTGGAGAAAATGTTGTTAGTCAATCACAAAGAAGATCAATTACTCCAGGAGAGATTAGATGATATCCACATCCGGTCACGCACGCGTGAAATGCAGTTGGAAAGGGAACGAATAAAAGTAAGGGATGAATGGAAGGAAAGCAGAAGACGACAAATTCCAGTTGATTCTATACCACCTCTGGTGTCTCCACAGAATCTCCCAGCTTCACGCTTACCTCAAAGGAAAATAGGGACCGTGGAAAAACCCAAATTACACAGAGGAACATCACTACCGGAAGGAAAAGATTCAGACAATGTGAATTCTTACCTTTTGGGGGAATACAGAAGAATGTCAGAGGTCATTCCGTCCATACTTTTGGCTATTTCAAAGAAGGACGAGAAAAAGGCAAAAATGCCATCACTTTTTCCATTACAACGAATTGATGAGAAAGAACACAGGAACGAGGAACCTGATCTTCACAGGATTACCAAGCTGGCGCGATCTGTGAAGAAAATAAGGGAAAACATGTCTTTTCAGAAGAAAATTGACTTGAACAGACCAAGACTGTCATTATCTAAAATGTTTAAAGAGATGCACGAACGTCGCTACGAAACGGATCAGCACACAGATGGGACCTGTGCTTTATTGAAACGAAAACTCGAAAAGCGACGAAGGGAGTCGATGCCAGAACTGGATATGACCACTTTACCGATGCGTCGAACTTCGGACCCCAAAGAACCTTCTGCTTTCCACAAATCACAGTCTGCTCCATTGCTTGGTGTTTCCGATCAATCAACTGATCCCACTATTTACGAAGAAGCTGAAGAAGAAGATGTTTTCGAAACTGATTTTGAGGTAAAACTGCCCTCTAGATTTGAAAGATCTCAGAGTTTGCAGTTTAACCCATCTATTCAAAGACACCATACGAATTTAGAAAAAAGAGAATCTGTGAGTTTAAATTCTCGAAGTCACATGCAAAAACGGCATTCAGTCTCCTCGGGAATTGCTCGCCCATCTGGCCAGCAACCTCCTCCTCGAAAGAGACATTCCATTGCAACCGTTCCCCGGCCATCGTCTTTACAGCTTCCTAAGTTTAATCCACGTCAGACGGGAAGTCTTGTAGGAGCGCCTCACAGGAGGTTTGATTCCCATGCCAATGCCGAATTCATAGACGAAGACGAACTTCGAGCAAAACAAAGAGTTGCCATTGAGCTTCAGAAATTTGAAAGGATTCGGCAAAAAGTTGATCGGTTTATGTCACCAGAAAACTTAGGTCTAAAAAGAGGATATACACTTTTTACGTAGTGTCAATAACATCAAGCTGTATATTCAAGTCCTACAAGCAAAGAGTTTTAAATTAACATGATGTATTTAATATGAATAAAAATTTAACAAATTATATTTCATGCAGTTTTCGCTTTTATAATTTACAACTCGTATAAAAAATTGTGAAAAACCGTTCACGGTAGCTCAGTAAGAAGGGCGCTCTCTCCAGATCGGGAAGTCGTGAGTTCGAATCTCGGCCCTGACTGACCGAGTCGATATAAAATGGGTAGCAGTTTTTCCTTCGTCATGTGCTCGTGATCGGCATTTGAGGTGAAAGATGCGGGTCCTTTGGATGAGACCTTAAAAACCTAGGTCCCTTGTCACAGCAGGCGTAGGCAAGATAAAGATCCCTCACTGCTCAATGGCCCTGAGTGCCTAGTAAAGGTCAAAATTTAAAATTTGAAGCCCTTCACCAGTATATGTGTCTTCTCTATAGGAGTGTAAAATAGGAAGTAAAACAACAATCAATCAATCAATCATATCTGTGAAATTAAAACTTAAGTGATATCCATTTGGCCCGGGTTAAATCTATAGAAAGTTGTAAAGTCATGTATAAGAGAAAGAGAGGCCAAAAGAAACCTGGAGAAGATCGGGGAAAAGAAAAAAGAGTCGGCATCGAGCGAAAAAAAATCAAAAGAATTCGCCAAAAAGTTGAGGAAATTCGACAAAATGTTGATCGCTTCTCGAGAGAATTATATACAAAACGTTGCCCACTCTTTGAAATTTGATACAATTGAAATGAAATTTACTATTTTCTTTTAATTTATCCACATCGTCAAACACTTTTTATTAAAAAAAAACAACATTTTTTAACAGTTGATTGAATAAGACATACTTAGTAATGTTTTATACATTTTGACTACATGAAATGTATATCAGTTAAATTTACAGACGCACCAGCAGTCGAGTATAATTCCTTTAATTAATAGTGAAATGATTAAACATAGACATTAAAAGACATACAATAAAGCTCATAAAAAACATTTACGATACCGATGTTTCTGTTTCTTATTTTTACGTATAAAGTATACTAGTGTAAAAGAAATTGGTTATCAAGTTGTTTTGTAGATGAAACTTTAAAAATTTAAAAGACATGCTTATGTAACTGAGTTGTTCTTTTGAAAAAAAAAAGTGCAAATATGCAAATAGGAAGTGCAAAGTTAAACAAAATTTGAAAATTAAATGTAATATATTAAATATAATTATGATACCCCCGCTTGAAAAACGGGAGGGTATAAAGCAAAGGCGCAACCAGCCCCCCCCCCCCCCCCCCCCCCCGTTTGAAATTTTTGTTTGCAAAACTTTATATGTCCATTATCCTAAAACAAGGAAAGAAATCATCTCTTTTTTGTAAGAACTTGTCAGCTTTAGGGGGCTTCGCCCCCGGACCCCCGAAAGGACCTTGCCTTAGACCCACTGGGGGCTTCACTACAGCCATCTGACCCTCTGCCTTCTACTGCCCCCCCCCCCCCCCCCCCCGGTTAAGAAATTCCTGGATCCGCCGCTGTAAAATAATCGGTATGTCTGTGCGTCTGTACGTCCGTCTGTTTGTTACACTTTGGGGTACCCATCTCTTATCCGCGACTCCTCTCATACCACTGAATGAAATTTGACGAAACTTTCACAGAATTTTTATTACATATTGCCACTGTGCACCTCCTATTTTACTTTTCGATCCGACACAAATTTTGGGTTTCCCATGCAAAATAAGAACACTGCCATTATATTCATATGGGAGGCAGGGGTATCATTTAGTATTTAGTGAGCTCATTGCTCACAGTACATATACCTCTAATTTTCAATTAGAATTGCGATTTAGAAACTAATTGATTGAAGGTTTCCATTTTGGGCAATTAGTTTACTAAGTCGATCTAAATGCAGATCTTTTCGTAATCTTTCGTTACGTTCATATAACGTAACGTAAATACTATTATCATATACCCATCAATTTCCTTGTTTTTGTTACTGTTAATTTTACAGAGTTTGATCCGATTTTCCGGATCACCACACTGTGGTTTTCTGAATCCATATCACCACTCTCTGAAACTGATGACGTAGTAAGCAAAAACATGACGTTATTTTTCTTGCGCGTTAAAAAGTCCCTTGTTATTATGCTTTGTTTTATGGATAAATATTATACAATTGATCTCTAAAGTTTTATTCTGCTATATTTTGCTAGTTATAAGGGGGTATATAATAAATTTATCATTATAACAGTAACTTGATCCGAAGAGCCGTATCACGTCTCGTTGACAGACGCGGATCTTCAGAACAAACTCGACGCTTCGCGTCTCGTTAGATCTGATGATCCGCGCCTGTCAACTCGACGTGATACGACCCTTGATCAAGTTACTGTTATAATAATATATATATTTATCCTATGTTTAACCCTTTATCCCGTTGATATAGCTCATGTGATATCGTTTTCATATCGCACAGTTGTGACGTCACAATGGATTTTGCGTTAGAGTGATGAAGTAAAACGAAATGGAGTCCTACTGTGAAATATTATCAAGAACTGTCCATGCAGTAAAAAGTTATGACCCAGATAAAATTTTATTACCTAAGTGCATTATGACCTTGACCTTGAAGGTATGACCTAGGTCAAGGTCTTGACCCATCTTAATGTCAAGGGCAACAATACTGTGTAGTATCATTAAGATATACTTATGCCATAAAAAGATTTGCCTCAGACAAAATGTTAATCCTATGAGTGCGAATATAATTCCCCTGCAGGAGGCCCCAGAATCATTAGAAATGACGTAGACGGTAACTGGTACAGTGCATACGGGAAAATGGCGTCCTACCATACCCCTCTTTAACGGTATGAAAACAAAGTTTCATGAGTAGGACTAGCAAAAAATTATATATTCTGATAGAGCAAGAGTAAAGCTTTATATATGCCAAGTTTTATCTCCAAATTGTGTCAAATAGTGAAGCAATGAAAGAAAAACCTCCATTTTTAGACGGCTACTGGTACAGGACCAGTATATAAAACCAGTGTCAAACATTGTTCGTGGTGTAAAAAACATGGGGTAAAAAGAATCTGACATGATTTGTAGTTGGATATGATTTTTATCCAACTCGTTGTGTGTTTTTATCCACTCGCCAAGGCTCGGAGATAAAATCCACACAACTCGTTGGATAAAAATCCTATCCAACTACAAATCATATGAGATCCTATATGTATGAAACAATACTGTATCAATCTCATTATTATACCCCCGCTTGAAAAGCGGGAGGGTATATAGTAATCGGTATGTCCGTCCATCCGTCTGTACGTCCATTCGTCCGTCTGTTACGCTTTAGGGTACCCATCTCTTATCCACAACACCTCTCACACCACTGAATAAAATTTTATGAAACTTTCACAGAATCTTTATTACATATTGCCATTGTGCACCTCCTACTTTACTTTTTGATCTAACACATAATTTGGGTTCCCCATAGCAAACCATGGACACTGCAATTTTATTCATATGAGAGGCGGGGGTTTCATATAGTGAGCTCATTGCTCACAGTACCTCTAGAATTAAAATCAGATCTTTGTTACGCTCCGAAATCCCTGATGGTCGGCGTCGCTGTGCAAACAAATCATCAGAATAAATTTCGGAACGTAACGAAGATCTGATTTTAATCAGACTGAATACTGTATATGCTGAAAGTATTTTTCTTATTTGATCTTATAGTGTATGATTGTTATACTCCCCGCTTGAAAAGCGGGAGGGTAAATTCCGTCCGTCCGTCCGTCTGTTACGCTTTGGGGTACCAATCTCTTATCCGCAACTCCTCTCATACCACTGAAGGAAATTTAATCAAACTTTCACAGAATCTTTATTACATATTGCCATTGTGCACCTCCTATTTTACTTTTTGATCCGACACATATTTTAGGTTTCCCGGCCACAGCAAAATATGGACTTTGCAGTTATAACTATATGGAGGCGGGGGGTATCATTAAGTGAGCTCATCGCTCACAGTACCTCTAGTTCACTTATAAATGGAACTTATGCAATACCTTTGAATTTTACTTAAAACATTGAATATACCGTACGTATTATTATAATTTATGATATCGTCTAACTAAAAATAAACAGTGTCTTTTGTATACCATATTAAACGTGCTTCACATTAAATTCATCAGATTAAATTCATATTTATATTACGTTATTTCACAAACATTACTACTCCATCTTAGTATTCTGATGGGGAAGTATTTGTTTTGCTGCCGAATCAAAATGATAATATATATTATGGGTGTTTTTTTAATTGTGACACCCATATGCTTGAAGCGTATGATATTCAGCTGACATACCTCAAAATTAGGACCATGTTTCCAAGGAATACTTAGATGTGTAAAAGAATTCAAGCTTCTTTTCTAAATAGACTTTTTAAAAAAACGACAATGATCGGCTAGCGTAACCAAAACTTGAGGTACTGTGAGCGATGAGCTCACTAAATGATACCCCCCGCCTCCCATCTGGTTATAACTGGTGAAAAAGTCCATGTTTTCCTGTGGCCGGGAAACCCAAAATATGTGTCGGATCAAAAAGTAAAATAGGAGGTGCACAATGGCAATATGTAATAAAGATTCTGTGAAAGTTGCATCAAATTTCATTCAGTGGTATGAGAGGAGTTGCGGATAAGAGATGGGTACCCCAAAGCGTAACAGACGGACGGACAGACGTACAGACGGACGGAATTAGCGATTACTATATACCCTCCCGCTTTTCAAGCGGGGGGTATAAGAATGATTTTAAAATAGTTTTCTTCCAAGAAAATCGTTGAGGTTACTGAAAACAAATGTTGCCTTTCAAGTAACTACGGTAAATAGTAGTCATACACTTCACTGAATTCCATCTAGCCTGAAAAAGGTATAAAATTATATGGACGGACGGACATACCGATTACTATATACCCTCCCGCTTTTCAAGCGGGGGTATAATAATATATCATTTATTTCAACAAGAGTTATCTTTCTTTCAATGCTTTACCTTCATAATTTCTGGAAATCTCCTTTCTCTAAAATAACACACTGCAGTTCACAACAATTTTTCACGATGATATTCAGATATATTATGGCTGAATCTGCACAACACAGCCAATCAGCTCAAAAAGTTAGACATATAGCTTATGCAAACCTCAAAACCCGCATATTGTCATTTGACAGTGCACCCAAGGAGCTGAAAAAACGTGCAGCAGAGCTAGCATCTGGAGGGTATTTTTATCAAGGTAAGACAGATTTGGAAAAAAATCAAATAAAATTAATAAAATGGAATGCTTATTTTAAAATTTTTCTAGGATAAAACTTATAAAATATCCCTATTTGATTTTTTTCTGTTTTATAACTTTTAAAATTAATATAATACACTGCCAAAATGCCAAATGTAACTTATCTGCATAATAGGTATAAATAACACTAATTATGTTATTATATTATACCATGGATTAAAGATCTATTACAAAAACAACCTTTGCACAATATACATGACTGTATGTAGTAAAATCATTAATGCTTGAAAAAAATTAGTTTGGGGAAAAAGAATTGAAACTTTCCTTTGTTAAATTTAAATATGATTGTATAACTAAGTTCTCAAAAAACAAAAAAAAAAAAAAAAACACAAACTTTTATTGACTGCGGTTACAACCAAACCGTTGGATTTAAGAACGCATAATGGACATACATTTTGCATATATTTAGAAAAAAGAATGATTTGAATAATATCTATTTGTTAGACACATCTTACACCCCATTAATTAAGTATTAATTAATTCCAAGAATATAATCCAATTTAGCCAATCAAGCTTTTAAATGAATCTGTTCTAAAACTGAAATGGAACGTAACTAATAAAGCACGAGTTCTTTAATCTTGAAAATTGATCTAGACTATTATTTAAAAACCTTTAGAAAAACAGGAAGCGTGATACCTCTGATGTGGATCTATTTTTAGTAAAGGGGATTTTCACATTTGTTAGCAAAACAAAAAATGTATAATATTTGACAAGTATGTATCTTTCGAAAAATACTAACATCGGTTCGGATTACTCAACAAAATATTCCTCTGGGACTGGGCCGCCTTCATCAGTTAGGTATCCTGCCTACAGGAATATTAGAACTCGATTTCTATCATACAATGACGCCTCTGACTTGCTTCAGAAAATGGCGAAATCGTTATCTGACGGAGGCTATTTTTATGAGGGTTTGTAGTAAATTTTAATGTTTGTAAATGAGAAAAAATTTACATTATTAGTTCTAATGACAATGTGAAGCTGTTTTTTAATTTGAAATTAAACTAGAGGTACTGTGAGCGATGAGCTCACTAAATGATACCCCCCGCCTCCATATAGTTATAATTGCAAAGTCCATATTTTGCTGTGGCCGGGAAACCTAAAATATGTGTCGGATCAAAAAGTAAAATAGGAGGTGCACAATGGCAATATGTAATAAAGATTCTGTGAAAGTTTGATTAAATTTCCTTCAGTGGTATGAGAGGAGTTGCGGATAAGAGATTGGTACCCCAAAGCGTAACAGACGGACGGACGGAATTAACGATTACTATATACCCTCCCGCTTTTCAAGCGGGGGGTATAAAAAAGCAAGGAACCTTTAAATTAAAGATAAATATTGAGTAGCTCTATATTTTACCGTGAGGCCTATTACAAGATCCAATTTTACAAAGTATTAAGGCAATTTTTATTGCCTGACGTCACGGCGTCAGGCACTACTAAGGATCAATATTTCCTAGGTGCGAAGCTAAGAGGTCACAGTTAGCCAGCAAAATGTTGTGCATGCTGATTATTATCGGATTTTGTTACATGCGTTTCAGCAACAACAGTTAGCAGAAAAATAACCATATTGCTGATATAATACATTGATGTATTTATTTCCTTTAGCTTTTTGCTAGCAGCTTTTTATTCCATGCGATTTCTTATACGGACATGTCCGTTTGACCTTTTTTTGCGTTTCTACACTACTGGATTAGTCCATTTGTCTTCCTGGTAAGGGGTGTCACAATCATTTCGCGCCAAAATGTCACGTGAAAGTTTTTGCGCCCTTTTCCTGGACTATTCTATTAAATGGAAATGAAAACTTCATGAATTATATAAAGTATGTTCTTTTTTGTCGGAATCCTGGTCGATCTTTGGAAAAAAAAAACATATCGGTGATTGTGAAGTGAGTTAGAAGTTACATCATTTAAAGTAATAAAAACGAAACGAACAAAATTCTCTCAAGAGGAAGTAATGGCCAAATATACATCTGATCATACCCCCCCCCTCCAGGGGGTTTCCTCCTAAAAAAAAACAGTATAGACCTATGAAAGTGTCCTCTCACATTTCAGGACTGAGAAAGTTTATTACTTTTTTGTTCGTACAAATATTTTTTAATGTGGACCCCTTATCCCTGAGAAAAACTTCCTGAATCCGCGCATGTCGCCATTCATTTATCGCCGTCAAGTTTGTTGGGTCATTTAAGCATATAGAACTTTCTTTATTCCACGTTTCCAACAATCATTAATGCTCTGGCATACCCAGGAAACTATTATTAAACACATTCTTTATGTCAGTCATAACTGTTACGATTCCCATTTTCTTGTAGTTATCATATTTTCAGCTGTCTTCCTCAAAGCCTATGCTGTATGCAGTTGAATCTAATTTATGTAACCTTTACATACAGCCATGCTTTTCAGCATTAATCAATTACATTAGTTTTTTCCCTTATTTATTTCATCCTCTAAAAGCATTTTTAGACTCGCTGAGTGAGGTTCTCATTTTTACGTCGCGGGTTCGAATCAACAGCGGGACATGTACATGCTTTCATTTTTTATTTGAGATACAAACAATATATACGTTTTATGTAAAATATGTTCTTTTTTCATTGCATTGATGAGTATCATACAATTGACTTGAAATGAATACATGATGTTTTGTGCAACATCTTCATAATTTACTCTGTTGAAATAATTTAACACCCCCCCTCCCCCAATGTAAACGTTTATAAATTATCATGCTTATAGGTTCTATAGATATTGATTGCATTAGTCAGGCAAGCTTTTTGAAAAGCTGTTACTTGTACAAGTATTACAAAACAATAATATATTACAATGGTAAAAAATGTTATGAATTAAATACTCATTTGAACGTTCCAAAAAATATGATGCAGAATTATATATTTGGTTTCGATGCCCTTAGACAAAAATAAAGATTTATTTAATTGTAAAAACATATTAACAAATTAAAACAAGAAAAGTTATAAATAAAAATTGGTCATCACTACAGCTAACCAATTTAAAACTGTTTTATGTTAAACATATCGTTATATCCTGGCTGAAAGACGGTCCCATGTTTGCATTAGGAATCCAGGTACTGTTAAACTTTGGACTAACAATCAGAAACACGGTAAAAAAAGTGAACTTGGAGCTTAATTGCCTTTTCCTAATTAAATCTGTAGATTAAAAAAAATCACTCAGACGTTTATTTTAAGATCAAGATCTAAGAAATAAATTCCTTTAATGGTGCTTTATAACTTTCGCTTGGCCAAATAAGGTGTTTCGGGTCATAATTTGTAGGTAAGCAAGATGAAAAACCATATTTTAAACAGTCATTTTCAATGAACAATCAAGAAAACCAGCCATGATTATGGGAGTTTTTTTTGTCATATTCAACAAAGATGTATCCAGTTTGCCTACAGTCTCTCAAAAAACGGTTACTTGTATGTTCATGCTCTATTCTTTAAAATAATATCAAATTTAATATAGGTTTCGGGTTACTTTTCATATGATTTCAAATTGAATGCCATGAAAATTCCCTTTTTCTACATATTTCTTATAAAGCCATAAAGTACGGGAAAAAGAAAGTTGACAGGCGCGGATCCAGAAATTTTTTCAAGGGTGGGATGGGTGGGTGGGGGTCCACCCCAGTCAAAAAAATCCAATCCCAGAAATTTCTTGACAAAAAAAAAAACACATTAAAAACCTAAACTCGTTCAAACGTCAAAAAGGGTGTGGGTGGGGGGGGGGGGTAGTGGGGACTTCTATTGCCTCATCTTTCACTCATCATACCCATTTAACACATATTCGCGTTTACCAGGGGGGTCAGCGTTTTCCAAGGGGGGTCCATGGTAACTTTTTTCTTGTTTTAGTATATACATTTTTTAACCTGGTAAATTCCAGGGGGGGGGGGGGGGGTCCTGACCCCCCCCCCCCCCGACCCCCCTATAGATCCGCTCATGGTTGAAATTGATTATGACCTCATAGTAGATTTAGCACCACAAAATTAGTCTAAAGTCATTTACTAGATCTTGACCTTAAATAGTTAGCAATATATTTTATGAGCAATCCTTAACCTTTTTGTTAATTGTAGGATACAACACGAAGACTTCTTGTTTTGCCTGTGGTGTTCAGCATGATAATTGGTCGGAATGGGAAAATGTTTTGGAAGAACATTACAAAGACAATCCGTCATGCAACCATGTTCTACTAATGAAACACAAGTCAGACTTACAAAATCGATCTCAAAGCCCGGAACACAGTGTTCCGAAATTACTATCAAATGCAAAGTATCCGGAATATGGAACCTTTTCAATTCGAAAAGCGACTTTTAATGAAACATCCGGATTTCTTAAACAAAAATCGGAAGAGGTTGCAAAATGTGGGTTATTTTATAAAGGTATGCTACTTTTATGCCACAACAGTTACTAGTATAAAGATAACTAAAAGTTGCACTGAATTTTGTAATTATTGTTTAAAGAGAACCTTTATACATGTATTCGACCAGAAGGCCCACTTTTGGCACAACGCTCACACGAGCTACTTTAGTTGCCCATTTGTCTATTTTCACTATATATTCTTACGTCAAATTAAAACTATATTTTAAAATCTAATAGTACCAGAAGAAATGGTTTGAACAATCTTTATACATCGTCTGTAGTGATTCCACCTTACTTATGTAAAACTTATTTGAGAAGTCCTAAAATGAAAAAAAAACCATAGTACATCTTTATTTTCGTCTTTTGTAAAATTTTGAACTATGCTAATTTCTCTAAATTTCAATTTATTCGAATTCAAAATCGTATTAAAAAAACATCTGAGAAGCACTTTCGTACTTGTTTTTATATTTCAATAGAATATTGATTGTTATTTTAGGATATAATAATAAAGTACAGTGTTATCATTGTGGAGTTGAAATATCCATTGATAGCAATGACGACCCCATTGAGAAACATTCTCTTTTATCTCCAAACTGCGAGTTTCTTCGACATCAGATGCGGACATTCAGCGATGATGCTGAAAGAATAAGGCAACAACTTCAATGCAAAGTTTGTCTGAATGCTCAAGTTATGGTAACTTTTCGACCTTGTGGACACTTGGCAACTTGTCGAACCTGCGCAGACCAGTTGCAAAAGTGTCCAATTTGCAGGACTAGTATTATGGAAAAAGTTAATACTTACTTGTAAGTCTTACCTACCAGGTTGATGCTATTAAAAAAAATTGTCGGCAAGTTTAAACAAGTATGGCGACAGTAAGCCGTGAGCTATGCTTCATGGTAAGTACGAAGAAAGGCAGCAAGAGGAAAAATATGAAAATTACTTCTTTTTAAACTTGAATTATATTTTTTTCAATTAACAAATCATTAAATTAAATAATCCGTTTTAAATTTCTTTGAAACGCATTAAAAATAATATAATTTTAGTGTCTAAGAAATACGAAACAAGGTGTGCGAAATTGGTGTGCATATGGCTCTCAGATGCTGGCAAAATAGCAAAGACGTGACGTAAACTGATGCATGTTGTATAATTTTATTTTATGATGTAAGACAATGTTTGAAATATTTTATTTTCGTAATAAAAAATATACTAATCTTTGCATAGGTTTTGCCGCTCATGTTTTGAAGTATATTTAAAACACGTCTCTTAGTTTTAAACTGTAAAATATAAACAGGTCAATATAATTTTTTTTTCAAAGAATATGTATGTATCTTCTTAAGACCGCGGAACATTAACTGGCAAAATTGGAAATATGCAGCTTACGTCATTTCTATCTGTTACAATCAAAGCATTCAGTGATAGACAACGAAATGGGCGGGTACAGTTCTACGCGGACGTTTGGAAAACATCGGATTGAAATAGCAGATCGAAATTCATTTTATATCACTGAATGTTTTGATTGTTACAGATAGAAATGACGTAAGCTGTATATTTCTAATTTTGCCAGTTAATGTTCTGCGGTCTTAAGATTTAAACGGACTACCTCACAAAGTACTTATAAAAAATTTAAATTTTTATATATTTAGGTAAAGAATGTATCCAAATATATCCAAACATGCGGTTTATTTACACTTCGTATCTACCTAGCATGACGTGACTGGTTCTTTTTCTCTGTCTATATAATTGAAAGTCCAAGTTAAGGGACTATGACATCTTCTTGAAAAAAGATTGTAAATTGAATAGTCATGATGTAAGATGAGGTACCATAAAATCCCAATGCTTATTCAAAATGCTTTTCTTTCATCTTAATAAAATAAAATGTATAAGATTTTCAGAACTAAACACGAATATTGTCAATATGTTTGTGTTATTTTTCTTGAAAATATAATGACGCTTGATGTAATTAACCTACGGAGGGGCTTGAAGCAAATCACACCTTGTATTAATCTTTTCCATTTTCTTAAGGAGGTTAGGGGTCAACAAAATCAGCCACCAGATTTAACTTAATTTTTTGCATATGATATCTTAAGCTGTCAACTATCTTTTGGCAAAGAAAATTTCATACATTTTAGTTTTAAAATTTCATCATTTTTGTATATCTTCCTATGGAAGTCTTCTTTTAAAGGAGGTCAAAATAGTCTGTAAATGACCACAACCCTCAGCCCCTTTAATATTTAATTCCATTTTTGACAATTTGGTAATAATTTTCAGCAATACATTGACGGGTAATGCATTAGAACATTCAGATAACATCTGAAAACAACGACAAAAATACATACTGATGAATATTTATATTTAATTGTTTATTCTTTTTATTTCGCTCGATAAAACTCATCCTTAGTCTGTTGACGTTGCTGTTAGTCTTTTTCATTTTCATTATTTTCTCCAGTTTTAACCAAACTAGGCACAGGGTATCCGGTGTAAAGATTAAAGTTAATTCAAAAGCAGGGATACACTCATTTAAAACCGATAAAATCATTACAATCAAGAGTTGCTTCACTGATAAAAAATATACTGCCTGCTTAATAATTTACTAAAATCCGCCTAGCACCATTTCTGGTATAAAGTTTTAATTCCAAGGAATGAAATTCTCACGCTTAATCAGCAAATTTTATTTTAAAACCTCTTATTTTCTTCAGATTTGGTCGTATATCAAAAGAAATTAGACCAAACAGAAACACAGGATTTCTGATTTATTTAATTTAAGAAGACTTGATTCTGTTATCAAAAGTATTGAGAATTTTTTTAAGTATATATTTTTTTAATCTGCATACATAGATTAAAAAAATCAAAACAAAATTGGGGGTCAGTGCGCCTCTTTTAGCACTACGAAACAATTAATATGATCTTTTTTTGCACTGTTATTACGTCTTACATATAAATCAAGTTTTTCCTTTTATATTTTTATCAGTTTAATTATTTGAAAAAAGGTCTTTATTCATCTTGAATGGTCAAACTTCTATTCGTGACAACAGAAATAGTTTCAATTGACTTCGCAAAGTCAATTATTTGCCCTCACTGCACTCAAAATTGTTATTTTTCTGGCGTTGAAAATTTAAAAAGAAATAAAAGATCATTTAAGAACATTTCACTGCATACAGTTTCTCTGTGTGCAGCTTGCATGTAAAAATAAGAATCCAAACTTTACAATACTGAATATTTTGAGAGTGGAAAAAATTGGACTTTTTCTTCTAAACAACCTTCCGCCCAAAAATATAATTCATCATTAAATGTATGGAATTTAATCATGGGTATTTGTTTTTTATTTTTGTTTTTGTTTGTTTTTTTTTAAAAAAGAGGTTCTATTAAGCTATTAAATATGCTTAATACCTGGGACCGAACCTTTTTAAAACTATTTCAATGAAAACTGTTGCAATCTTCTCTTCAAGTTGTTTAGACAAAGATTTGAAGTTAATATTTTCTCAAATTTTTGGTATAATATCCCGATTTGCACTGTATATATTGCAATAACATTTCACACGAAAACATAATTATAAAATTTTTTTTTCGTCTTTTTTCATTTATATACGAGGGTCATTCAAAAAGTTCGTAGACTTTTGTCATAACTTTTTTATTTAACGTCATATTATAACCAAATTTAGTACACTTATTTTAACAACAAATCCAAATAATTTGAGACAAAAAATTGGAAAATATCTTGAAAATTATCAAAATTATCAAAGATTTGAGACAGAAAAAATGGGGTCACGGAGCAGGGTCAAAATTGACCTATTTTCTAATTATACACTTGATAATGTCTGGAGTCATACCTCTTATAAATGGCTCTTAAACGAAATAAATTTGAAATGTTTAAATTTAGAATTGTTCAATTACTTCAGATGCTAAAATTTAACGTAATTCATCGCTTTGTTTAAAAGATTTCAATCTTTAAAGGCAGATAGACTTTATGAAAAAAGCAAAAAAACGATGACGTCCAAGGACGTCACGGAGCAGCGAGTACCGATGAAATTTTGTTTTGCATTCGGGAAACCTTTAAAACAAACACTGAGAATGCTTGATGAACCAGGAAATGACGCAAAATGTGCTATGCATTTGTTTGTTATGAGAATGACTATTTTTTGAGTGTTAGAGACTTGGAATCGGACCATGAACGGTCTGCGAAAAAACAAATTATAGTATAAAAAAATATCTTGTCAAATGTTAGTAACGTCATCAAACGTAATGTGCGATTCACTTTTGCGGAAGTTGTGCAAACATGAGTTACGCTATAAAGCTTTGAAAACATTTACAATTTAACTTAAGGTACTCAAACAATTAATGGTTAGCGAAATAGGTGTAAAGGGCTATAGATTCATGAATTCAGAAGCAGCAACAAACCGTGTATAAAATGAAAAGGCAGAGTAATTTTAAGAAAATTTCTCGACGTTGTTTTTGACGTCACAGTGTTGTTAACCTTGCTCCGTGGTGACAAAACATGTTACTTTTAAAATTCTCTAACACGAGTTCCATTAAATCAAATGGAATGAAACTTTACACACTGATAAAATAAATGTTTTTACATATAAAAATATGTTTATTTAAAATTTTGTAAGAATAATATGATGATGAAGGACATTGTCTGCGTATTTTTTGAATGACCCTCGTACATCAAAATTGCCACTTTTCTTAAGTACATTAAGTGTATTGATAATAAATTAATAACTTGTGAAAGTGCAAGGACGTGTCAATCAAACTCGACCAGAAATTCGAAATTTCAATAAAACCGAAATGAAATAAGATTTTTTTATTATAGACTGCAATTATATTATGCAATTCCAATAGATAAGTTGTAATATTACACAGAAAATTCGAGAAATTTGTTAACTTTGAATCTGTCTATGCACCTTTAAAATATAATGTCATACAAATTTCTTCTGAATGTTCGACCTCTAACAATTTCAGCTCGTTTTTGATAAAGCCTTCTTGACAAATTGACCATATTTAAATACCAAAGACATTTTTTTCTAGGGATCTAATTTCATCAAATGCTTTTTCTTTTTTAAAATTCAGAATGATATAAGAAATATAATTCTTTATGTCCCGTTAGTTTAGCTGACTGACCGAAGTCGTTAAAAAATAGGTAGTAACTGTTCCTTCACCAAGCGCTCTGTACTTTGAAGAGAAATTCAGGGTTTTTAGAACATACCTTATAATTTCCCGTGTCTCAGCAGGACTATTTCTTGTGGTGGAAGGATATTTAGCAGAACACATCTGAACTTTAGTCTCACATACTTTTACTTGGAGACTATTTTCCATTATGGTATGCTAGGAATATTTAATATAGATCTTAATATATATATATATATATATATATATATATTTAAGAACAAGTTTTACACCTTCAATGAACAAACTTTGCCAAAAAATGAAAATATGTCAAATAAGTCAAGATAAAATTTACACCATTTTTCGCCTGAAAATTACGTATTTTGACCAATATTTCAAAATTAACATCACTGACCCCATTTTTTTCTTTCATTATTTTAAAGTATTCGATACTTGTGACTGATCAACACTTTTAAGTTGTAAAAAGCTTGATTTAAGAAAATGTTTAATTCTATTTGCCTATCTAGTTTTTTAATACCCCAGATATGTTACTTTTTAGTGCAAAATGGTCACAAATTAATTTACGATTAAGATTTGTTCTATGATATACATTATTCAAAATAGTTTACGTAAAATAAAATCATATTTATTGCCATGGTTACATCTGATTAAATATGATAAAGGTTGAAGTAATTAACCAAAGAGTTAGAATTTAGGTGCAAAAAGGTCAACTTCATCGTACCGTAGATCAGTAAGATGAACAATGACCCCCCTATTTTCTGTGCGATTTTGAGTCACTCTATATGAGTTCCAAAATAAACTTTTAAAAATATCAATAACAAATTTTTCTTCGATATTTAATTTGATATGTATGTTTACCTTATTTTGACTCTTCGTAATTTGAACCAAACTTACAAAAATTACTTGTGCAACAATTAACTTGCGTCACCTGCATACGGGGTTTATATTTCTCAGTTGTTTCAATACGCAAGAGCATGCTCTACTTATAAACAATGTTTAAGGTTTCACCAATGGTCAACTTGTCCAAAATGTTATTCTTACAATAGCTACAAAACAATGTGAAGTATAAAGTTAAAACTTTTACAGTTTATA